GAAAAGATAGTTCACAGACATAAATACAGCAACATCTCAAATATTCCCACACACAGTTCCTAAAATAAATGGCAGAAATGTAACCGTACATAAGGTATAATTTATACAGCTATACCAGAGGAGATAGAGGGGGAGAAGAGATAGTGACCCACAAGGTCAACAGAAACCTGGCCACACCCATCCCATTAGGGCACAGAGCAGAGAGCTGCTCTCCAGGGCAATTAAAGGGAGGATAAAATCAGCCATCCAATATTCCCAGGTAAGAACAGTCAAGGCCTGAGGGGAGAAAGGAATTAGGGAAGACAGGAGCCATGCAATGTGCATTCTCCATCCAAGTGACTGTTAAGAGATCAAGAGCAAATAATTCTAACCAGGTCCTCTCACCCTTATTTGCCGAAGGTCAGGATTAACAGGTCCACTGTGATCTGAAGTTTTGGTGCGTGTGTGCACGTGCACCTAACCACAAACACTGGCGTGTTTGAATGTCCCACATGATTCACAGCAGGGATGGGAAGGCCTCAGTCCCACATCACGAGTGTGGCAACTCAACACAGGAGAGGTTTGTTCATGCCCACGTGGTAGAGTACACAGGGGGCTGGGACAAGGCAGCTTATGCAGTTGTAGGGAAAAAAAATCCCTATAGCCAAAACCACAAAGCCAATTTCTGTTCAGCAGGACTGCTATTGTTGAGTCTCCGAAAGAACAAAGAATAAGAAAACGTACTAAGCCACACCTTGAAAAGTCAGGCGAGAAAGGCAAGCCGCAGCTTGGCGGGGGCCTTACAACAGAGATCTTGCATCATACGCGCTCATCTACATCGCCCCACCTCAGGGCTGAGTGCTTGCCATACTCCTCTGGCGGTGACCTCTTAGAATCCCAGCTTCTCTGATAAAATCTTCCTGACAAAAACCTCACAACCCATAGAGTTAAAATAAGCATACAGTAGTTCCTAAGCTTACCCCTTGCTGTGTATGTGTTTTTTTATGTATGTGTCCCTACTACTCTCTCCATTTTTTAAGTCCTGAAAGACAGAGACCATGATTCTCCCAGAACCTAACCACAAACCTCATGAGGTTGTAATAATAAGCCCTAATTACTGCTAACACTAATGAGCTTTTGAAGAGAAATTGAGGGAAGACCATGTTTTTAAATGGGAGCCTTTCTGAAAGTATCACAGTACATCTTAAGATCAATAATGTACATTCAATATTAACATGTACAGAGAGCCATAGCATCACCAAAACCAACCCACCTGTCTATAGTAAAAAAAAAAAAAAAAAAAAAAAAGTGGGGGGAAACTTACTAGAAGGCCCTAAGTTATTAAAAAACACACCCCTAACTGAAAAATTAAGTTAAATTTAAAAAATGCCTGTCTCTGAAAGTCCCTGTTTAGCATAATCCTGGACTGCTATTAACAGATGCTGGAGCCCAATACACACCCTAGAGTATCATTTCTTGTGATCTTGATTTCAAGCATCACTTCATATTGTATGTGGGAAGTTGGGTTTTGTTCACTTTTAAACAAAAGCAGTACCTCATTGTAAAACTATTTCAAAGTTGCTAAAATACTGAAGTTGTAGGAATCTCTTTTCCAGGGCAGAGCCCTACTTGAGATGAATGGGTTCCCATGCACTTGGGCTCCCCATGCACTTGGGGTCCCCGTCATATTTATCCTTCAAGGCTGCACAGAGAAGGCAAGCGCCTCTACACCGGCAGTGCTCTGGAGGAGATTAAGAAACTAAACTGACCACTATGAAAACTAGATGCAAGTGCTCCTAGAGGCAGGGATACTGGTGACCAGGAGACACTCGGTTTATAGATGATTCAACTAACTGAACACTTGTGAAGAGCCAAAGACAATGAAACACTTTGTACTGTATAAACATCTGTAAAAATGTAAAACTTGTGGCACATATTCAAAGGTAGATAGGTATCAAGAAGGCAGTAGCAGTCAGCAGATAGAAATGTAGTAGTTTTCCTGACAACGTGGAAAACAGTTCTATTTTCTAGCAGATACTGATGATGCCCAGTTTAGATAATAACTAGTCAAAAGGCAGGGTCTTAGGAAGAAAAGAAAGAAGAGTGTCACCTGACTCTTCAGGGCTCGTGGGCTAGGCCCTGCCATCACAGCAGATCCTTCCAAGAGCTCCTAGGCACAGATCTGTCTGCAGGGTCACCAGATCACTCGTCTTCGTTGGGCTCATCCTTGGCTTTGGTGCAAAAGCAGCCACAAATAAAAAGGCATCTACTTCCCAAAGTAATATGTTGGCACTAATGAGGGGGAAAAATGGAACAACAGTGTGACCTTTGCTAATTTTGGGTACCAAACCAGCTGTATTAGATATCAATCTATAACTGAGAACCATAGGAGAGTCACTTCTGAGATTATCTAGAATTTCCAAGGCAGAAAATTACTTTTATATATAGCCCCTCATGTTCCAGATAGAGAAACGGAAAAGCAGAAAGACAGACTGAAATATCCCTGTCCCACTGTAAGTCAGTGGCTGAGCCAGGACTGAACCCCTGGCCATGGTTCCCCAATTCCTAGACCTGTGATCTTTCCTCTGTGCCACACTGACCCTAAGGGCTCAATACACTAATACACAGAAACCCCACACAGTACATGTAAACCCATCGACTGTCAAAGTCAGTAACCCCAAGTACTGACCTTATTTCCAGTGGCTGTCACTGGGCTTAGTTTATACCAATGTTAAAAACAAAATAATATTGAAGGAGCAAAGCCACACGGACAGCATTATAGCCTGGGACAGACAGACCCTTGCGGCTCCTCCAAAAATCAACACTTCATCCAAACACAACTTTTAAAACAACTTATTCTATCCTAATCCCTATATAGCTGGTTAAAGAACAAAATAACTAAGTTCTATTTATTAAGTGTAGACCACTGAATGTCAGTGAAAACCAAACCATAAGATCCAGTTAGCTTAGGAACTGCATGCAGGCCTCCCTTAAATGGCATAAATGAAAATCAGTTTCCCAAAGTTTGTAAAAGCAAAGATGGACTCACTAATCCTTTTGTGGATATGGAACTTGAAGAGAACTATCTGAGCTCAGAGGAAGATTAGCCATTTAAAAGTTTATTTTGGGCTTCTTAATTAGCTTAATTTCTTTGGAGCAAAAAAAAAAAAAAAAAAGTCTTAAATTTATCTCTTAGTCTACAAAAGATGAAATGAAAACTCTTAATTCCTCCCTGGCCAGGTTGCTTAGTTGGTTGGAATTGTCGTCCTGCATGTCAAAAGGTTGCGGTTTCAATCCCTGGTCAAGGCACATATAAGAGGCAACCAATCGATGTTTCTCCCTCTCATCAATGTTTCTTTCCCTTTCTCTCTCTCAAAATCAATAAATGTATCCTCAGGTGAGGATTTAAAAAAAAACAAAAAGGTAACAAAAAAATACCTCTTAACTGTAAAACAGGTCATGGTACTCTAGTGCCTTATCTTGGCTGACAAAGCTGAACCGTCTTCTCAGTTGGCCACCATAAAGCCTGCCGCTAAAAAGCCAGGTTTCCAAATGCTCCTTGCTCTTGGTGAACAAACTAAAAAGTGGTGGAGACCAAATGTAACTGGCACTTAACTCAAACTCCCACTCCAAAATCAGGTTTAGGTACAGGTATAATAGTGTCATGTATTATTTTCCACTAACTAACAATGTTCTCCACAGAAATAAAAGTATCCACGTAGGAAATTAAATTTCAATTTAATAAAGATTCCCCTTTAAAATATCATCAATGACTCTGCTAATAAAAAGATACATTTGAAAACACATATCGAATTTGTTCCCTAGAGGTAGCCATCCCCTATTTCTGTAGTGAAATGGTCCTATTGTGTAATAGCACATCAATCCAGTCACTAAAGTAAAAATCAGATGTTCAAATAAAACAAAGCAGTCATGAGCATCTGAGAGAAAGAAAAGTACAAGAAAATTGGAAGTTTTCCCAGTGAGAGTTTTTCCTAAGGAAAAAAAACACCAAAATGGGAAACAATACTTTGACAGAAAACTGCTTTATTGTAACCACTTTCAAAATCACATGGTCCATAATGACGAGATGTATCCTAATACGCATGGCTCAGACTCAGGAAGACTGACTGTTCTCAGCAGAGTGGAAACAGCTGTAACGTGACCCAACACCTGCATCCTCACCAGCACTAAGCCCTTATCATTAGAGCTCAGGCCTCACCAACTTCTTCCTCCTAAAAGCTAAATAGAAAATTACTCTTTCCAGGTTCTCTCTCATCACAGCAATCCCCGTCCCCTCCACCCACCCAATTGCTTGTGATTCTGGGATTTCCTGTTAAAACAAGTACAGATTTTTATCTATAATATTAAAGAATAGTCAGAAAATCACATATCTCCTATCTTCTCCCTCTCCTATTCTCTCTATTAGAGAGGGCTCTCTGAATGGAGGAGGGAGGATTGGGAAGTCCACTGAAGTAGAAGGTCACACGAAACACTTTCAATAATGATCCTTTATTGATATCACTTATTAACACTGTTTAGACCCTATGCTGAAACTTACTGTTATTCACACTTGAAATCTGCATTACTGAGGATATTTCCTTGTGCTCTCATCCCACTTACCACTCAAAAAACCAAAAAGTCTTAGTCCTCATGACTTCACACACACAAAAAGATGACCTTAGAAATTTCTGCCCATTTAAAAACAAGTGTTTTTAAACTGCACTTTTAGAAAAAGACGTTTGTGAGAAGTGGATGCCTACTAACCAAATCATAAAATTCCTTGCCTGTCCATGTTCGCAGCTTCATTATAATAATCTTTTTCATCCATAGAGGGAACGCCCAGAACAGAGTTCACCATTCTGTTTAATGATTCTCTATTAGAGAGAAACTGATGTGGTTGTAAACCATATGGAATGAAACCTCAATTACATCAGAGTCTAATGGTCTGGGCAATCACACAATTCTCAGTGATCTGTCAATCTATTATGGTGTTTAAAAGAATGAAAAGTCAAGTTACTTACCTTGTGCAAAGGGAGCACAAGGAACGCGCCTCCCCCACTCGCTTCTATGATTATGGCAACAAATCTGGGATTGACAGCACAAAAGGAACTATCCCAGGTCACTCGAGAAACCCGGATGTCATCATAACACTGGTCATTTTTCACCGCTTGTCCAAATACATGCCGAAACTTGCTCTGTCGTACCACTCGCCTCATCGTGTCTGTAGAAGAACAAAAACGATGTTAAAATTGTGCACCTAACTGAAAGTTGTACTTTTACAAATGAAAAGCTCAAGTAGAAAAAAACAGAATGGTATGGCATTTTGTCTGCTCTCCTAAAAAAGTAGCCAAATGGCAAATCCAAAATTCCTTTAGCAGCACATACCCAGAGAAAACTGAAAAATGCGTCAGGGAAAGAATTACAAAGAAATGAAAAATTCCTAATTCAAGGTCCAGAAACTGCTCACCAGTTTTAATTTCAGGAAAAAGATCAAGGCAAACAATGAAGGAAAATTAGCCTTTCAGGATTGGATGGAAACTGAAAGATAATTAACTCCAGCCCTCCCCTTTTATAGATAAGAAAACTCCAAAGTTAAGTTATGTGGTAGATTTGGAGCTCAAGAAACTCCCTCAAAAATGTTATAATATCATGGCTTGTTCCTAAGTCTGCCAAGGTAATTTCTCATTTTTGTTTATTTTGTTTTTTGGGTAGGCCACTGAGAAGCTGGTTTTATTGGAAAAGGATCAATTCAGCATCCCTGGCATACGGCAGATGCTAGAGTGAGGTTCGCAGAAGAAAAGTAACCTGCTCAAGGTCACTCAGCTGGTCAGTGCTGGATTCCAGAGTCTGAGGTTTCCTGGTGTAATTTTTCAGTTTTAAGCATTTTCCCCAGACATCAGCACTCTGCTGTCTGAGAACTGTGCCCACTCACAAGTGTTTCCACAAGACCAACTACGTGTAGTGGAGAATTCAAGAAACATTAAGTAACCACCCTTGTCTTCAAGAGCCTTCCCACACAGGCATAATAATCAGAGCAACTCAGAACCAAACTCCTGGTGCTGAATGCTACCAGCAGTCTGACTAAGGCAGCTGGGAGGTCAAAAGCCAGGTGGTCTCGGAAAAGAGTAGCAAGGGTTTAAATGGAGAGTAATGTGATAAACATGATTTGTAGGATGACAAGAGGTCTAACAGTGGCATACTAGACATATTAGACAGGAAGAAGCTAAAAGCAAGGTGTGGGGCTAAGAGCTGTGACAATAAACCTGGCCTGGAAAGGCCTGGAATGACTGTGGCAGTAGCAGTTGGACAGAGGGTTCTCCTATGGGAGGGGAAATGAAACCAGAGTGGGTTTTCACATCAGGGTTGATCATTCACCTGGGGGAGGGGTGGTATTGCTGGGCTTACTCATGGGTCATTTCAGACTCCAAATTCCACTAGGTTGTCTGATAGACATGTGCGCTGAAAGCTCATGCTTTAGGAACAGGCCCCACCTGGTGAGGTTTCCTAGACTGCATCCAATGTAATTTTCCTACCTGCTAATGTAGGACATTCTGTTCATATTGGCTAGCATAGAAGGGGCCTGGGAAAAACTTAAGTGGAAATGGAACATGTTCAAACCTTGACAACTCAGCTGAAAACCAGTCATCCTGATCCCCAGGCACAAAGGAGGGTTAACGCCTGTCCACTCATGCCAAATGGGACACAGGGTAGGTAGGATGCTGCTAATTCCTTCCCTCTAATTCCCTTTTTCTCATGGCTCTGGGCCCACTGCTAAGTACAGAGGGAGTGAATTTATTTTGTCAGAGCCTCTTTCTACCCTTCCAAGGAATGTGCAAAAGCTGCCTCTTTCCAAGCCTGGGTCATGTAGTTGGGCTGGGGCAATGGACCCTTGGCAGACAGTTCAGCACCCATGTTCCTCAGCCCAGCTGCTGCCTGACCTTTCCAGCTGACGACCAGAACCATACATTTAAACTACTTGGTAGAGGAGATGGCAAATAATTTGCTTCCACTTGGCCAAGGTCCTCCATTTGTGAAACAGTGTGAATAATTCTCAAACATGAAGAGATAAGAGAGCTTCCATGAGGTGGTGAAAACCACAAGAAAAGCACATTCATACAAAAGCCAATGTACAGCCAGCTGGTTCCAGGATCATTTCCCTACACACGCATCTATACCAGTTAGCGAAAGCCCAAATCCCCACCAGTACCTTCCAGCAAGTGTTTCAAAAGTAAGTTAACATAGAACGAAGAATTGCACGATATGTCAGAGTTAATATCCTTCATATATAAAGTTTTAACAAATTCAAAACATGAAAATCCCAATAGAAAACTACACAAAGGACATGAAGAGGTAATTTACAAAAGAAATACAAATGGCATTTATCTCCACTCCTTCCTGAAATCCTAACAAAATGACAGTCAAGGAATAAAAGCAGGTAAAAACACCAAAGGACAAGGGAAAGGACACTGGTAAGGGGCCTACTGTGACAACATAATCTTGGAAGATGGAAAGCTATCAAGTACATGTAACTGACTTCCAGTGTGAATGTTCTCCACTCAGCTAAGTGTCTCAAGAGAGGCGCGTAAAAGGATGCCGAGGCCCACTGGAAAGCCCGAAGCACTCAGAGAAACTGTCTGTCTCTAAAGACACGGATGGGGCCGAGAGGCTGGCTGCAGAGAAAACTGGCTGAAGCCTGCTGGAAGCCTGTCAGAAGTGGCTGAACACCCAGATTACCTCCTCCGCTGCTGCACAATCAGAGGACTGCCCCGCATCCGCCCCAGCAGAAGCCAGACTATGCACCCTGGGCAGGACGACACACAGCACAGGTGGGCACAGTTATGAACAGGCGTCACAAGACAATACAGTTCTGTACACTGGGGCCTCCTGCCCTTTGTTCCTGAGGTTCCCAGAACACTGGCTGCCAGGCCTAGATACCACCTGCCCTACCAGGTAGGAGAGAGAACTCACCCCTCACCGTGAGGTCCACCATTAGATAAGCTAGATACCATCTAATCTCACCAATGATTAAATATTAATAAGTATAAATATGTGAAGTGCTTCAAATGTGTTCATTGAAAGATATTACACATATCTGCTGGCTGACTTACATACTAAAATACTTTAAAAAGTCATTTCTATATTACATGCACTGACAACTTATTTTCATTCTATCTACATGGAGTCAGAATGACATACAGGTTCTTTTGCCACAGCCACAAATTAGTGTTAGCCACGGAACAGAGGCGGTGAGAAAAGTCTGTGCTTCCACAGTGCTGTGCTGACTGAGCCAGGCCTATCCAAGCGAGGCTTGAAAGGCCGTGTGAGCCCATTCACATCCAAGGTTGAACCTGATCTGGGCTCAGCAACCCATGTGGCACAGCTGCTTTCGCTGCATGCAGTAGAGAAGAGCAATCAAGAGGGCAGGTTCCAAAGTCACACGGCCTTGTGAATGAGAAGCACAGCTGTACCATTTACTTCCTGGCCATGGATCAGTAGGGCAAGTCAATGAATCTCCTGAAGTGTCAGATTCTCTATCTGAAAATGGGTACAATACATAAAAGTTGAAGCGATCATTAAATGAGCACTTGGTGATGGGAGTGTAGCAGGAGATTAAAACGTTAATGCACCTCGTATGGTTCGAGATACATATCTAATTACACAATAACTGTCATCCAGAAGGGAATCGAGATTCAAATCCTAGCTTTGTCACTTACAGTAAATTAGTTAACCTATCTGAGCCTCAGTTTCCTGATCTATAAAATGAAGGGAATGATGCCTATAATAAGAATTAAAAACAACATCTGACAAAACCCAGGTCCAGGTGATGTCACCACTGAAGTCTATCAAACATTTAAAGAATACCAATTCTTCACAAATTCTTCCAAAGAACAGAAGAGGAGGGAACACTTCCAAATTAATTTTATGAAACCAGTATTAATCGGACACCAAAATCAGACAAAGACATGACCAAAAAAATGAGACCAATATCTCTCATGAATATGCAGAAATCCTCAACAAAATACTAGCAGACCAAATCTAGCAACACATAAAATGCATTATTATACAACGTGACCAAGTGGGACTTATCCCAGGAATGCAAGGTTAGTTCAACATCTGAAAACCAATGTAACATATATCAATAGAATAAAAAACACAGATCACGTGATCATCTCACAGAAGAGCATTTGACAAAATCCAACAATCTTGCATGATAAAATCACTCAACAAGCCAGAAGTAAACTTCCTTAAACTGATTTTTTAAAAAATATCAATTGCATTTCTGTATATTTGTAACAAATAATCTAAAAATGAAATTAAGAAAACAATTCCATTCAGAATATTATCAAAAGGAATAAAATACTCAGGAATAACCCTAACCAAGAAGGTGAAAGACTTATTTACAGGCATATTTCATTTTATTACACTTGGCTTTATGATGCTTCACAGATGTTGCATTCTTTAAAAATCAAAGGGAAGACCCTCCACTAGCAAAACTATTACTACTTGCTTTATTGCTATACTTGCTTTATTGTAGTGGTCTAGAACTGAACCCTCAATATCTCTGAGGTATGCCTGTACTAAAACCTACAAAACACTGCTGAAATTAAAGAAGACACAATTAAATGTAAAGACATCTGTGTTCATGGATCAGAAGACTTAACATCAAAATGGCAATACTAACTTTGAGCTACAGATTCAATGCATCCCTATCAGAATTTCAGTTGGCTTCTTCATGAAAACTGACAAACTGATTCTACTGGGTTGGCAAAAAAGTCCATTTAGATTTTCCATAAAATAAAAGACACATTTTTCATTTTCACCAATAACTTTATTGATTTGGATATTTTGAGTATATCGGCTATCTCCCACTATTGGCTTCCAGTGGATAGAAGTCAGGGGTGCTGCTAAACATCTTCCAATGCACAAGACAGCCCCACAGCAAAGAATTATTTGGCCAAGATGTCAATAGTACCAAAAAAATTTTGCCGACCATTTTTGACACATTCTATCAGTCACAGCACCCTCTGTATATACTGCACAAGTCTTTTTGTGCTTCCGCTGCATTTTTACCTTTCTTGAAATAATAAAGCATAATATGCTGAAAATGTTGCATATTTTCTTCCATCTTCAATATTAAAATGGCTGCACAAAAATTCACCAATTTTGATAGGTTTTTTAAAAATGCACACTGATATGAGAGCTGTCACAATACAATCTAAC